GGACAATGAATATTTCATGAATTTGAATTTGAATTCGCCATTTCCATTCGTATTTCTAAATTTTATTTTCTAACTATTTTATTCAAATATATAATATGGCCCAAGATAAATGTGAGATAAGAAAGTGAACGAGTGAACAATAATATCTTAGTTCTACAGAATATGAAATATTAGACATTTAGCTTTTGAGATGTTTATGTAACATTTAATAAAAACAAATTGGCTAAGGGTTAAAATACCCTGTAATCTTATCAAATTATGGCATTACTCAATAGAATTAATGGCAGCATTTATCGTGACGTTCAGCATTTAGCGTCTAAAGAATAAACGAGCTATCATAGCAATCAAGGGAAAATTTGAAAATATTTGTCCGTTGGCTCAGTACCTTTCATGCCCAAGTCCCCGTAACAAATGATACTTTCTGATAAGCAACTCAACTTCAAATAGCTAAATGCCAAGTTAATTCAAGTTCCAAAAGGTCGACGCGGATTTATCGAGAACCCAACCATCTATCCGCCAATTGAGTTGCGCCTATGAAAAAATGAACGACTCCACTCAACCAAATAGGACATTTGACTAATCCGAATGCATCTTTCACCAATCGGAGCCGCGAGTCATTTAAGATTGCATTTGACGCGTCGTATTGTGTAATTGGGAGTCGCAGGTACGCGAAATCCAATTGTCTACACTCGTTTGTCGCAACCATGCACGATGTCCGCGGTAAAAGTAAGAGGTCGAAGTGGAGAGCCACGACTACGACTACGACGACGACTACGACGACGACTACGACGACGACTACGATTACGACGACGACTACGACGACGACGACGACGACGACGACGACTACGACTAGGACGGCGACAACGATGGCGAAGACGACGATGAGAACGACGACGACTACGACTACGACGACGACGACTACGACGACGACGACGACTAGGATGAGAAAGAGGAGATGGTGGAGAAGGTAGTGGAGGCAGAGGTGAAATAGTAGGATTGGCCAAGGCATTGGGGTAACATCCCCCCAGTCCCGCGTCACCCTCGACGAAGGACGGACTTCATTGGGCATCGCGGGCCACGCCGTTGCGAACGCGGCCTGCAACCTCGGGGGCGAGATCGGGGGAGGATGCCGCTCGGAAGTCGGGACTGGGTGGGGATGCGCGCCGGCGGAGCGTAGACCGGCTTCCGAGGTCGCATTGATTTTGTCTAGACGGGGTGGAGACCGGAGGGCTGGTGGCGTGCGCGCGGCTCCCGCCGGTACCGACGCGCTTCTCGCCGCAGTCCGCGCGTCCCTCATCGGCGTGCCGCCGCGTCCCGGGCCTGCACCGGAAGCATCGTCCAACCCGGAGCTGCGGTTTTCGTGGTGGTCCTCGGCGCCCTAGCCTCGATGGATCCGCCGGCAAATGCGGCTTCGAGCCGCCCTTGCCCGCCAGGAGGCGGACGCGAGGCCGACTGACTTCTAGCCGAGCCCAGCACGACGTGAGTCCGCAATGTTGTGAGGCCAGGGCCGGGTACATCGCCTCGGTCCCCGTCCTCTCCATCCCCATTCACCCCATCTCATCCTTTACGTTAAGCCGTTGGAGTTAAGCGGTCGCTCCTCGAGGAAGTTGGTCGGTTGTCAGAGAATTGGCAATGCGCGCCCTCGTCTCGTCTCCCGAACAAGAGAGCCGGATTGTCAAGAGGCGCGTCGGGCCGCGTCAAGCCTTTTACGAAGCATTGTCTGGGAAAGGGGGAGCCGGGTTATTTTATTGGCATAACGTGGCCGCCCTTAGTCTCCTTGAAACACTTTTTAAAATGCTCCGTTAGAAAGTCCGGTGCTTTCGCAAGGGAATTAATTTTAACTGTTTGTTTGATGCAATTTAATCGGATAGTGTTGGTCAAAGACTATTCCATTCGTCCACATACGGGAATGCGGAATTTACCTATTTTACCTAGTGCGATAGTGACGTCGGCGAATGATTTTTCCCATTTTTCAAGCATTTTAGACGGCTTTACATCGTATCCGCTACAAGATATGAAAAATTCAATTCGATATTCGAAATTGCTAATGCAGCTGTTTGTTTTACTTAAACGGTAAAGCGGAGCCGAAAAGTAGATGCTGTAAGAGCTCGAATAGAGTATTGTATAATAACTCTAGATTTGCATTTCAATGAATAAACGTAATTATAAATCATACATACCAGAGCCAATCAAAGTTTAATCACTTGCTCTATACTCGGCGACATTACAATTTATGTTACGAAAGTATTAAGTTTCATTACTACTACGGGTTTTCTTTTTTTTTTTCTTTTTTCTTTTTTTTTTCTTTTTTCTATTTTTTTCTTTTTTCTTTTTTTTTTTTTTTTTTTTTTTTTTTTTTTTTTTTTTTTTTTTTTTTTTTTGTTTAATCCAATATATTCTACGACATAAAATATTTGTACGTAAGACCGAATCTTTTATTAAATTCAAATTTAAACTGAGATCATAAAAATGAATTAGCCAATTTTCCAGCACCTAAATTGAAATATCATTGAGTTTATAGTTATTATAATTTATTCGAGTAATGAAATTAATTTTCAAACGATTTTTCTCGTTAAATTTGTAAATATTAATTATACACGTCGTACCTTTATAAAAGAAAAAAGACCGTAAACAACTTCCTCATTCATGATAAAAATTGTATTATAGCTCACATTCCAATAATTAGTAGATAATTCGAGTCAATAAATAAATTATTTTTTATCTACGAGAACTGTTGAAATAATCAATTTTAACATTTATATTTCTGCTTATTAATTGTGTGTGTGTGTGTGTGTGTGTGTGTGTGCGCGCGCGCGCGCGTAAATATATATATATATGTATATGTATGTATATGTATGTATATGTATGTGTTAAAATACACTTATAAGTTCTATGTAATGAATAAATGTCTTTAAATATGAGTTTTAAAGGTATTAGGCAAATGTTTTATATCGCCATTCGACATATACTGTGAAAAAACATATATAATAAAATGTGTGCTGGATATTATTAAATTAATGATATTTAATGTAGCTTTAATAGAGTAATTATAAATATTATTAAAAACGTAATAATTGACGATAATCTTCAAAAAAATTCGTCTTAAAATTTTTCATCGCATAATGATAAACATTATGAATGATGTTTCAACTAATAAAAATGTTAAATAGCTTTTGTTATCATTAGACCAATGACGTGAGTAGGTTGAAAATAATTTAAAAAATTTTACTCGATTAATGTTTTCATTTCATATGTATATCTTTTTTTTTTTTTTTTTTTTTTTTTTTTTTTTTTTTAATATCTCACTTAGTCAATTAAAAACTGTTGTAAATTGAAATTAATGAAAGATCCTCGTCGTATGTCTAGCCAGTAGACTTAAATTATCTACTTTTCGATCATGCTGCAAAACATCATCTCATTCTCAAATTTTATCAACTTTTCACCGGATGAGGCAATGCATCTTATCATATCATCATATCACTGCAATCGGCATCACGTGTATTTAAAAAGCCAGGCTTGCATAATTGCTCATTCGCTTTACTCGAGTAATCCTCCCTGTTAAAAGAAGGCGGCCGGCCACCCATAAAATGACGGCTTGCATCCTTCATAAGTTTATAAATTCAAAAACTTTGGACTATGCGATTGTATGTATAAGCATTTATGTACTTCACATGGAAATTGTCGTCAGCTCGACGGTACGTAATTTAATTAAAGTCAGCATTTGACTGCCGCTTACACTTGCGACAAGTTGAAATCGTATGATTGCACAGCAGCGCCAATTCGCCCGTAAAATGCGTAATTGTGGAGCGGCCAGTGCAACAGCGACCACGCAGTCGAAATATAAATTAGTTTAATTTGGATGAGTGCGAGCGCGAGGGAGAAACGCTTAACATTATCGTTCGTGTTTCGTACACTATGTACCCGATCGATCAACCGCTGCTCGATCGTTATTACGATCGTTTGACTGCTGCGATAGCTCTTGCGAGTTATCGATGAGTTTGGCATCGGCGACGATGAAAGGACTCTTGGATTGTCGATGTAAAAACGTTGTAGAGTTTATGAGAGCATTTACAACAGGACGGAAAAGTGGCTTATTACTACTTATAACACTTGCTTTGACAGTAATTTCGTTTAATAAATCGCAGCGACCTACGTTTATTTTACGAATTATTTATAATCAGAGACCCAATCATTCCTCGCTAACCAATGCCAATTACGTAGCATATAAAACTATTTCATTGCGGTATTCGGCATTATTCCAATTATTTATATTTACCCCGTACCATTCTATTTTTACTAGTTTTAATCGCTTTCAAATTGCAACACTTCTTTCTCTTTCTTTCTCCTTTATTATGACACACTATGATAATTGCTAATAATACAATGAACAAAGGATACCTATGCATATACAGATTGTATGTGGCAGATAGCAGATCATCTACCAAAAGATAGGCACATTATTACGGAGACTTGGATCTGCCAATAATCCCTATAAAATTCAAGACGAATTACTGAAATGAAATTGTAAATCGGAGAAGAGATTTTACCGCTGATTTGAAAGTAATATCTCAAATTTTTAACATTCGGATTGTCTTTACAACTAATTCGTAAGACCTTCATCCACTCACTACCCCATTACTTTTCAAAAATTAAATTTATAATGAAAATTGATCTTTTTTCTCTTATTATTATTATTGTTGTTGTTGTTGTTGTTGTTGTTGTTGTTGTTGTTGTCGATTCATTTTCTTCCATGTCTTGTTCTACAAAAGCCCGTAGTTTTATATGATATGGATACGGTTTCTGCATTCGGTTACATTTATATTGATCGTCACGTAGAGAAACCACGATAATATGAACATTTTTATTCTTATAACAACAACAATAACAATAACAATGCATTTCTACTTCTGTGAGAAGTGAAAATTTTTAAACTTCAAATATTAATTACCTATTCATTTGCTTGAAAAATTGGAGAAATGTTAATTTTTTATATATTGCAGCGACTCCGTCGACTCCAGTGATGCCGGGCGGAACGCCAGGAACTCCGTCGTCCAAAGCAAAGGTCGGTAATTAATGATAAATAAGCGAAAGCTCAAATTCAATGTTGTGTATTTTTTTTTTGTCTTTTTTTTTTAAACTAATCAATTCTCATGCTACCTCAAAAGTATGTTTAAAGTCGTTAATGTTGAACATTGTCAAAAGTTAAAAATTTACGCTAGAAGAGTAACGTTAATATGACTATTTGACATTGTTATTTTATGGAAAATCAGAATTATAAATTGCGATTATATTTTACGAATTTAAATGGATTGATGAACGAGCAACAAATTCACTCACCGTGAAATGGTTTTTATTAAAATCTTTTTATAAAAAGCAATTAATTATATTTCACAGAAATGAGAAGAATGCTTTTATTTCAAGAAAATTTTATTCTTTTTTTTTTTTTTTCAAATTCGCTCCATTAAATGTCAGCATAATATGCATTGAATTTAACGTAATTTAAACTCTTGTTTATTAGTATTTTTTTATGATTATTAGATCCTTTGTTGCATAATACCTTTGAAATTCATATTATTACTATGAAGAAAAAAATTGTCATCCGTGATATTTCAATTTGTATGTTTAACTTGTATTTTATTAATTTCCCTATTCTCCAAGAATACGAAACGTGCTCTTTTGGCATCAAAAATATTTTTGATATTTTGTTCTTTTGTTACTTTTACTGAAAAGAAATCGAAATCGCAATCAAGGAAATGCATTATATTGTTAATGGTTAAACTTTTTAGTCGATAATGTCTCAACGAAAATTAGATTTTTATAAGAGAAAGTTGACAGAAATAGTTTTATATATTTGGATAAATAATCGTTCTATCTCATTATCCCCTTTTTTCTTTAATTTTAATAGGAGAAGCTAATGATTCGGAGTAAAGTAGTTGTTGCTTTATATCCTTTTCGAGCTATCGAAGGTGGTGATCTTTCATTGGAAAAGGTAAACATATTTTAAATATTTATTAACATCTGGATAATTTAATAATTATAATAAGTAACGTAATTCTTATGGTGCTTCGGTCTTATAAATTATGATTTCAATCAATAGCAATAACTTCCAAATAATGCAGCATAATGCAAGCATAATTTGCCAAATACAATTGAAATTTAAAAATCGTTCTATTACAGCATTAACATTTACCGTATTAATTAAAATACGAATAACTTGATTTTATTTACTTTGAAAGAAAATTATCCAAGATAAGCTACGTTAATTTTATGAATTTCAACTTCTCAGGGTGCGGAATACGAGGTTTTGGATGATTCACAGGAACACTGGTGGAAGGTGAAAGACGAACACGGGTAAGACTTTATAACGATTTTCTTTAAAAAATAGAATGATCAAAAAAAAAAAAAAAAAAAAAAAAAAAAAAAAAAAATACTAGCTAATTTAATCTAAATTAACATAATCTTAACTGAAAACATGTGCTTCCAGCATATGGCACAAGCAGAACATTTTAAATGAATTTATTTTACGTATAAAGTAAGTAGACATAAGTCCACAGAGAAGAAAATTAAACCTCTTCAAAGTTCTTGTATTACATGTCGCTCATTTTTATAACTTAGTTTTAGTTGCCGGAATCTCATTTTGACTTATCAATTATTTATGCCATTTTTAAATATTATTTTTAAAAAATTACCGCCTATAAATACCAAGTATCATTATATACGGTAAAAATTAATTCTCATTACTGTATCTATACGACTTTTTGACGGGGTTGGTGAAAGTACAAAAAAAAAAAAAAAGAAAAAAGGAAAGAGGAGTAGATGTGGAAATAAATTAATTTAAATTATAAAAGATGAATAGAATTTGATATCTATTTGAAACAATTTATTACAAAGTCAGACAATGCATAGTTCATAAAAGTTGAATTGGGTAGGGGAATGGGATAAGGATTTCAGAACGAATGATAATCTACTTTTAAACTTTCCAGATCCATCGGTTATATTCCAAGTAACTATGTCAAAGAAAAAGAGCTTCTTGGTCTCCAAAAATACGAGTGAGCATAATTATAGTAAACAATGAGTCATGGTTACTTTAATCAACGATAGATAATTCACTGAACTTTTTAATATTTGTAATATTTCAGATGGTATGTGGGAGATATGTCGAGACAGCGCGCCGAATCGCTCCTCAAACAAGAAGACAAGGAAGGTTGTTTCGTCGTTCGCAATTCCTCGACAAAGGGTCTCTACACTTTATCATTGTATACAAAAGTGTAAGTTCAATCGAACACGTGCAATTTCTCTTTACATTTCTTTACGAAAGCTTGTTGGAGCAATTTTTGAGTAATATCGTTTTATTGCCTTGTACGGCAATTTTGTCATCTTGCACCATGATTATTTTTTCTCATAATTTTTAACATAAACATTTCAATCGATAACCCAATACAAATGATTTATAATACGCTAGAGCATGAAAAATACACGAATTCCACTCAAGTTTTACTCGGCAAAATCAGTAATAAGATTCCCCTAATCGAAATTGCGATTTTCAATGTTCCAGTCCACATCCTCACGTAAAGCATTATCACATCAAGCAGAATCAAAGGGGTGAATTTTATCTTTCGGAGAAGCATTGCTGTGGCTCAATTCCGGATCTCGTTAATTATCATAGACATAATAGCGGCGGACTAGCTAGCAGACTAAAGGCTAGTCCTTGCGATCGTCCTGTACCACCGACTGCTGGACTGAGCCATGGTATTGGATAATTTATACTTTTGAAATTGCATAATTTGCCAATTATTTAGAGATAAGCATTAGCGTTGGTCGATTTGAGTAAGACAAGTCAACATAATTATTGATCGAAGGAACTGCATCTATAGGCATAATAATACAGTTTGTTGAATATATATTTAGATGTGATGTTGTTAAAGATTTACTCTTGTCTAAAATAAAATTTTCCGATTACATTTTAGTATAAATAATTGCACCTTGGAGTAATAAATGCTTGAAAGAAGAAAGGAAATGAAGGACACTATTTTTATAAATTTTTTCTAAACTCGGGATGATTTAATTAACCGTCGATTTTTCAGACAAATGGGAAATTGATCCCGCCGAGTTGCATTTACTCGAAGAACTTGGTTCAGGACAGTTTGGCGTTGTGCGTAGAGGAAAATGGCGCGGTTCCATTGACGTAGCTGTCAAAATGATGAAGGAGGGAACAATGTCCGAGGATGATTTTATCGAAGAGGCTAAAGTTATGACGTACGTATTATTGGTAAACTATAAGCTTAGTCTTTAGAATATCGAGCCTCGAAATATGAGCTTTGGTAATTGATTCGTTATGTTTATAGTAAATTACAGCATCAAAATCTCGTGCAACTGTACGGTGTTTGTAGTAAGGACAGACCTATTTATATAGTGACAGAATACATGCGTCATGGATCTTTGCTAAATTACCTGCGCCGTCACGAAACTACGCTTGGGGTCAACGTTGGATTGCTTTTAGATATGTGCATACAGGTAATTAAAATTCTTCTATAATCGCTATCGTGGACACTATAATTCACTTGATTTACTTCCCCAATGTATTATTTGATATCTATGCATGTAAAGTTTCTAAAACACTTTCAAATGACGACTAATACGATTTCTCGAACTACTGCATTACAAAAAAAAAATATTGTATTAATTGATATTTTGCATGTTTTTTTAAGTAAATTTAATCGAGTTTCTTGGGATTAAAATTACTTGATTTTCAAATCTTTTCATAATCATGATGTTCCGTTTACTCCTTTACATAGTTTATTTGATAATTTGTAATATCTCTATGAATAGATATAAGCAAATAATACAAACTATGATTATTATTCATAGGGAGAAATTTGAATAAATTTAATATCAGTCCAATCCTCCTGCTAATCTTGTCGAAATTGTTCTCCATTAAATAAGTCCATACGCTCTTTCAATTTTTTTCTTCACCTTAATTAAAATCCTAATTTTCGAGATTTAATTATATTAAAAGTATTTAATATGATATAAAATTTAGTTTCCCATTGTCTTCGTCTGTAAATCCATTTATTTTACTCTACATAGCTTCTTCAATTTCGTATATTAAAAAATTCTAAATTAACTTTTATAAAAGTTTGTACTGCTCCATTCTATGGCTCCTGAATTTCAATATCATTGGACACTATTAATTTCTGAATTTTTAATTAATAATTGAATAACGAAGAATATACTTTTAATCTTTTATCAATAACAAAATTTATACTTCTTTATTGTTTTACTTTTCTATTAGAATTCCTTTACGCGACCTATCCAACTGAATTATTTAAATTCATCTATTGGATTTAATACTATTTGCAGCTGTTAATGATATATTTTGTCTTTTTATTCTATAAATATAATCGTACCTTTTTGTGGGCATCCCAATGAAAATTCTCAATTTTCAATCTCTATACGCTATTCATTAATTTTATAATCTTCTAATTGATCCTAAAACTTTTGAACGATTCTAGTAAATTACTTTCTATTTGGTATTTTCTTATAAATGTCTTTATTATAGTGTATTTAAAGTAAAATAAGTAAAATGGAAAAGTTTGTGAATTAAGTTGGTGAAATTTTATTACATTATGTTATCGTTAAAATCGTGAAATCATTAAAAATTACTAAACAATTAGTAGATTTAAGATAAGATAGGAAAAATTTCATAGGAAAATTGAAAAATATAAAGGATGGTGAAAATGTTTAATTTTCATTTGTTAACAATTACGATTTTAATTGGCATTTTCAATTTTAGAGATATAAATTCTTGAATTCTTGACGTATAGAAAAATTTTGAAATTTATCTAACTATTTATCACTCCTCTCTATCTAAGAATTTACGTCATATCAACGTATGTATTTTTTAAAATTACATTCTTCCTTATGTGTGAATGTAAAAGGATATATTAGAAACCAAAGTAGTTAAGTATTAAAAACAATAATTGAGTTTGCTTATTCTTTTATCAGTGTGGATGAACGACTTTTAATAATGCGTACACGTATTAGTTTAAATAATTTAGTTTATGTGTAAAGTCTTATATGATAGAGGTTGATGTTTTCGTATAAAATTATATATTCCCATGGATTGCTCCTTTGGATTTAATTACATTCATTTTGATAGTTCAAAGATGATTTTTCATATTGTACTTTATTAATATTTATTGTTTCAAAAAGGCCATTAGTGTCTTCTCCAATACTAAAATATTTTCATAGCATCGCTGCATCTATTATTAAAGATTATTGCCTTTATTACAAATTCTCTTTCATTATATATTCTCTCTGAAAATATATATTTATGTCAATCATGTGTTACGGTTTTTGCATTCTCTTTGATCACTCATATAATACTAGTCAACATTATCTAAATTGTTCTCATTTTCATCGTTTCATAACGTATTCAATGGGTTTTTTTAATTAATCTATTTATAAATCTAAACATGATGTATAAACATGATATAATCTTCTGAATTTTTATATAAAATGACATATGCAATATTACTTAGGAGAAAGTTTTTTTTATACTCATATCATATATTCGCACTTAAATTCTAATATTTGAATTTAAACAATACACTATTATTCTAGGATTTTATATAATATTCAATTTGCAGTTTTCTTAAGATTATGAATATTCGACTATGGGTTTATTGTATTTTTTAACCAACACATTTATTTAAGTTGTGTAATATATTCATTATTCTACTGAATTTTTTAATTTACTAGAGATTATAAATATTATGTCGGAGCAACTATATATATTTAAAAAAAAATTTCTTTTAAATGTTTAATGAAAAGTAATGAATTAATTATACGAAACAAATTATATAAACAATATATTTATATATATATATATATATATATATTCAATAAAACTATGGCGATAATATAAGAAATTTTGTTAATGAATTTTTAAATATAATTTTAAATTGTATGTATTTTGACGACTGATGTATTTTATATTAAAATATCTCTTGAAATATAATATTTATATGAATCGCGATGCATGGTAATTGGTAATTTATTTTTTAATTACAGGTTTGTAAAGGAATGGCATATTTGGAAAGGCATAATTATATTCATAGGGATTTAGCTGCTCGTAATTGTCTCGTTGGATCAGAAAATGTCGTAAAAGTAGCAGATTTTGGCTTGGCTAGGTAATGAAAAAATAAAATTTATAACTTAGCCTTTATTCGAAAGAGAAAAAATATATAATCCGGCGATAACTTTACGCAGGTACGTCTTAGATGATCAATACACAAGTAGTGGCGGAACAAAGTTTCCGATAAAATGGGCCCCACCTGAGGTCCTAAACTACACTCGGTTCAGCTCAAAATCCGATGTCTGGGCTTATGGTGTATTGATGTGGGAGGTATTTACATGTGGAAAAATGCCTTATGGACGACTTAAGAATACCGAAGTTGTAGAACGCGTTCAGCGTGGACTTATTCTTGAAAGACCGAAAGCTTGCTTCAAAGAAGTTTACGAGGTTTGTTTAAAATCTTTCGGATTCACTATCGAATTATAAGGATTTTCATTTACTTTTAATGAGTTTCGACATCCAAAGTAATTGCCTGAAATTAAATTAAATGTCGATTGTAGTAACAAATTGATAAAACTTTTAACGAACTATATATTATATAAGATAATTGATATAAAGGTATTCGATAAATCAATTTACAGTAGAGATTTAAAAATACATAGAAGACGGCATTTTTTTTAAATTTCTTAAAATCAAAACAGCCAATTACTTACTGCTCATTCAATGTAAAAACATTTCTCAATAAATATTCGTGAGCATGGCCCAGCAGAATGCGTAAGAGGCCCTAAGCGGAGGGCCTTTTGAGTTTTATACCAATCAATTGGCACATACACCTTCCTTGGTATTAGCTTGGCGAATTCATAAAAAAAATTTCGTAATTTCCGACAGGTAATGAGGAAATGCTGGGCCCACTGTCCAGAAGTTCGACCGTCTTTCCGTGTGCTCAAAGAACAGCTGATTAACGTCTCGCAGGGTCTACTCAATGATTGACTCAGTCTCCTGCGGTGCTTACGTTTCTCCTCGCCAAGCTCCGCCGGCAGCGGCCGCACCTCTACAATCAGCACAACAGTATCCAGTAACAAGTTACAACCGCCCCGGTCACCCTTTCTCCAACGTGGCCCCGTCACCGCGGCCTCCTCCAACAGCTCCTCGTCCTACAACTCGGCAACCCTGCCGGCCTCGCACCGCGTCAAGAGCAGCGCATCGCTGCCCAGCGCCGCGGAACTCCTCAATTTTTCCTCTAGCCTCTGTCGCTCGGCCTCCAAGAGGCGAGAGTCCCGTGATCTTAGCCGCGAGCAGGACCGAATGATAATAGGTCAGGGCGGCGGTGGCGGCGGCGGGCCAGACAGGACCCCCTCCAAACGGGATATCGGCGCCTCGAGCGCCAGTCCAGCGAGGCACGACGATCTTTCACAGCACAAGCAGCAACATCACAGCGCGACCTCGAGCTCGACGAGCGTCTGCGACATTTGCAGCTCCTACGGCCATCCGTGGATTGAGATTTGTAAGGCCGTTCGAGCGACTAAGGGCAAGTGATGATGAAGGTCCGCGTGGCGCCCCAAGCCTTCGGCGGCGATTGCGAAACCCTTCACATATTAACATTGTGCGTTTGCGTTTGGCGAGGCAACACCGTCGCACACGTATTGTATATATATATAGTTTATCGTAGGCGTATTATTTTATTCTTTGCTCATCGTGTATTCATTGTCATTTATTGGCTGGTCGTTTTATAAAAGTCGTCAGCACTATATCTGTATTGCGTCTCTCAAATCTAATGATTTTGATATTTCTTAGAATTTTTACTTTATTTTAAAAGTAATATACTTTTTATTAGTGCTTAGTTGCTAAGTTCTTCGTAGAGATTAGATAATATTGACTATTAATCGATTTTACTTTTACGCTCTGGAAATATATGTGCGGATGGCGATCGGATTTAGTTTTGAGTGAAGGAAAGATATAGTAAGGATCGATGGTCGTAAAGTAATGGTGTATTATGTTACAGAAAACGATCGACTTTTAATTCCTTTATATTATCTATAAAATACCCAAGCACACGATTTGTATCTGTTTTTTATTCCATTTTTATTGAAATAATCAATAATCATGATTGACTTTAAATATTTAGCCGTAATCGACTTCTTTTCGTACTATTAATCACAATAATAAAGTAACAAGTAACGATTTCACATAAAAGTGGATAGGAAAAAAACAGATATATGTACTGTGTAAGTAAGTTTTATAAAAACAATTGATGTTGACGAATATGTTGTACGATTAAAGAAAAATATGCATTTCAAAGTAAAGTCACTTCTCGTATTACGTGGTTGGGGTTGGGGGGGGGGGGGGGTTAAAGATCGACAAATCACTTTTTACCACACATTGGAAGACCTCTTTTTAAAACTTTGTAAGGAGAAACGAATGTATGTGAAATAGAAAAAATAATACTAATACTAATACTACTACTAATAATAATAATAATAATAATAATAATAATAATAATAATAATAATAAACAACTCGACACTTTTATAAATGCGCATCGACTGTTTTGACCCATTGGGTATGAGTGCTTTATGTGTGTATGTTGGAGAATTGCCCTGTCGATGCTTCGAATCAAATAAATGAGGATAAATTAAAAGCGACTGTTTATTGTATATTTTTTACATAAATATTTTTCTGTAACAGCGAGCATCGAACACATTATTAATGTGGTTTACAAAGGGACCAGGAACGCACATCATTCTTCATCTGATCCCTGTAAGACTTTCTTAAACTTCTACAGTTAAGTGTTTTTACTAAGATTTTTCTGTGCTTTCTTTAAACAATATCATTATGAATTGTATATGAAAAGATATTCTGCAAAAAACAAAAAAAAAAAAAACAAAACAATGATCGCTGTCTTTTAAAACTACTCTTTGTGTTTGTACTTAATTTCAATCATTATTAGTTTAAACAAATATAGGGTGAGAACTGGATGCGACGATACATTGCAGTTCGATTAAAAAGTATGCCACCGAAGTCATTGTTGAATACAATTTCATCAAAGACCAGTGATTATTTAATACGCCAGTATGGTGAAAAGTGATAATACTAATATAGTTTCGTACGCAGGATATATAATTTTCATTTCCGATACCTTTTAATCTACGTGTAGGTAAAATGACTGACAAAAAAAAAAGGAAAAAAAAACACACACACACAATAACTGCATTAATTGATTTTATATGAGAATGGCAATAGGTAGATATAGGATATGATTGCGAATGATTTTCCAATTGCCTAACGAAAAGTTTAATGATTGTGAATGTATGCGACTTACGTATCGCCTAACGATTATCTTCATAACAACGAATACAAATAATAACATACAAATATTAATTATTTTGTAATAATTAATATCGCTTGTATGCTATGTGAAAAAGAATTGTCAGTCCAAAAGTAATAAGAGAAACATTGATTCGCAATAATCTTTATTATTTATCGATGCGATAACACTTCAGATATTCGTGAATGATCAAACAATAATATGCACAAAGCAGGCATGTGTACATACTAATGATATAAGTTTAGCGTAAGTTTCATGACAAGGACATCTACTGAACCGCAATTGTACGAAGTGAAATATCATTACGTAAGATTACTGTCACTTTATTAGAGGAAAGAAAAATTAATCTCTTTAAAACTCACGTTCGTTAATAGTATACGTTGATATAAGTGGGCTAGGATCCAAAATTGTTTAACATTTGCATTTGTGCTTGCGCGTAGGTGAAAATTTGTAGAATTTCACTTAATGTACCTACGATCGATTTTGGATCCTAAACTACGACTGCATATACTTTTTATTTCTACGCTCTCAGTTGAAATTATTAACCTTTAGAATCACACAATTGCATTATATTACTTGTCATTTAAAAAGTTATAGGATGAAGAAAATTAAAATTCTGTGACTTCGTTAGAGATTGACCAAGTCGAACTGTTTCATCTAGTAACCGTAGGAAAGAAAATATTCGTTAACTGGAAAATAAAGCATAGCTTGGCTGCATTGGTTGAGCAACCATTTCAGTCCCTTCCGATAGTACATATGAAAGTTTTGTTGAATGAAATGTCATCGCTTTTATAGTTAGTCTAGAAATAAAATGTTATTTTACTGAATTATCATTGATTATGTATCATTTAATGTATTGTCATAATATATCATTTTCCTAGAAATCCTTCATTTTACTATATAAATTTTTACTATAATAAAATTAATTCAAATAATTTATTATTGTTAGTTTTTATTATTACAATGAATGGGATTTCGCATTTCTTTTCTTTTCTTATTATCTGCTGGAATTGTCGTTAAAACATCAAGAATCTTCCTGTAAATTATAATTTTATTACAAGTAATTATTTATATTCTTAGCTTATAAAGGACACGAACTTGTGACGTATGACATTGATTTTTAAGACGTTGCTCGATATATTATGTAATAGTTGAAATTTAAAATAAATTTTGTTTAAATTTTATTAAATTATTTAACGTAAGATTTTCCGTCTAAACTATTATAACAAAATTGAGCAAAATTTAGATTTAATATTCAAGTAGATGAAAGTATAAAATCCAGATTCAAAAATCAAAAAGCTTATTATATCATAACATTTAGAATATATATTTTTTAATAGCTTAGGTAAACAAATTTTATTTTTTCCCTAAATTTGTATGAATTTCATCTATTGTTTTTATCTCTTTTACAATATGAAGATGTTTTATAAAACACATAACCGCTATAAATTTCACAAATATAATTAAAAGGAAGCATTGCACATTGCACAGAATAATGAAGCAGAATAGTATCCTAAATTAAAAATATTTATGTTTTATCTCTTATGCCTCTATATATATATATATATATATTGGTAATATTGTTGATAATATAAAATGGTAAGCATTGTTATTATTGTCCATTATAACAAGTTTGCAGTTGTTTCGTTATTATTATTACATTTATTATCGTTACGAGAAAAAAAATTAGTTTTTATTTTTTTAATTTTTGTAAAAAATGTTATATTTAATTGAAAAATTAAATTATGACCGCTTAAAATTAATAAATGTTCAGCATATTAATACATTCATTTGTGAATAATTTACAGCAGAATGTACGAACAAAATTAATCGAGTCCTTCTGTCAAGAAATAATTACTTCTGCATTAAAGTATATTTATACTAATTAATAAATTATTTATTTAAATTTTTACCTAATCGATTACTTAAATTTAAAAAATTTTAAATTAATGCATTCATAATATTGACAAAACTTTTATCTGATGCGATTATATAAAATTTTCAATAAAACGTCGATATGTATTGATAAAATTATTGATAAAAAGATTATTTCCCGTAAGATTAAATAATTTTAGTATTATATAAAAATTTATTTTTCGGATAATTTAAATATAGATAGTTAAATAATAATGGCAAATGTTGTGACATTTCTCTGATTATTATCAAAAAGTAATTGTATGAAGCATAAATCAGTTGTAAATTACCTCTATCTTATTATGAAATAAATATTATAAATTAAATGAATCGATTGCGTATTAAAATATTAAACATTATAATTATATTGACATTATAAAAAATATAATTAAATTTATAATAAGTGGATCGACAAATTCATTTTTATATAAAGATAAATTAAAATCTTGACATAACAAAAAGTATTATCCATTAATGAATTGAAAGATCTAACATGCAAATGTAAAAAATAATAGTTTTTGTACTTATAATATTCATAATATTGCTGTACGTACAAAAACTAAATAATTGTCCAAAAAATAGATAGACACACATCACGGTAATGTAAATTTTAATTTCATTCTCAGTATTTACATTTGTATATTATTTATTTCGAAATTTCTGATTGGATTAATTTTATATCTGTTATCTCATTGATTCGATACAATTATAAATTTCAATTGATTATATAATGGAAAATTGAATTAACTTTGGTTAGAAAATAATGTTTAAAATTATGTAAATGTTACATTGATTATTGTCATTTCATTACTTACTTAAATGTACTTACATAAAACGCTATATTAATTCAATTGGAATTAAATTAATTTTTTCTTTTATTTTCCTTGACATGTATTCGCGTATTAGTAAAAATTTCTTTTAAAATATTTATCTCAATTAACTAATAATTACTTATCGCATATATGTCAATATTCCAGCAAAAATAAATAGAATTAATCGTGTGATAAATGATTATTAATATTTATTACGTTGGCTTTTGCCAGCGTTTTTCACATTAGTCCATACAGTCTTATATACTTTTAATGAATTTAAT